CCTATCAACACTTTCCCCAAGTGTCAGAATGTACGAGCTGTAATGGTTGATCTAATTTATCAGATAGACCGCAATTAATTTTCTCTACCTGCTTGCAAGAAAGGCAAATATCATAATTTCTCAGATATTTAGATCCAGTATTTAGTTTTGACAATTTACCAGATTTCAGATTTGGTAATTTAGTCAGTGAAATTTCAACTTTGGCAACAAGCTGGGGGTTGACGTGAGCAAAGCGATGGTGCAAAAGGCGGTTTGCGTCCATGTTAGATACAGCTGTAAGTAGCCCCTGGTTGAGATCCGAAAGGAGCATGGGGTCCTCAGGTTTAGAAGGAGGACAAGCAGAAAGAGGACGAGAAGAAGAAATAAGAACAGCAGGATTAGAAATTACATTGAAATGAAATAAGCCATTCCTTAAACGAGCGGTTGCAGTGAGAGAATCATTAGCTTCGTATATGCTGATTCCACTATTAGAAGAACGCATTTTGTAACCTGCAGAAAGAAGTTGAGAGCCAGAAACAAGATTTTTTGTACAAGAAGGAAGATACCAGACATGATCTAACTTCAAAGTACGAGAAAGAGACGAATCGAGATAATTTCTCAAAGAAATTTCCACAGAACCAATTCCAGAAACAGAAAGTAATTGACCTGAAGCGGTTTGAACGCGCTTGTCAATAGCAGAAAGAGAAGAGAACAATCTCTTATCATGAAAGATATGATGCGTAGCACCAGTATCAAGAACAACATCATTAACCTTCTCTGATCAATCAGAATTAAAAAGATGTTCCTCCATCATCCAGGCGCCATCATGTTTAATGGACTTTCCTTTTTGACCCTTAGAGAAACCTTTGTGACTGAACCTTTGAAACTTAGCTCGCACCATGGCTGCTTTCTCTGGATGCTTGGCGGCCCACTTCGTGCTGTCAGGAGTAGAAATCCAGAGGAAACAAGTTTCTCTAGTATGGCCCTTACGGTCACAATGCGCACAGATTTTGTCCTTATTAGAAGAATTGGACGAAGAAGAATTAGGATCAGGGTGAGATTTTTGTTTCGCAGAACTACTTAAGAATACTGCAGATGGACCAGACTATCGACTATTTATTGTAGCTTATGTTGACCTGAGAGAGTTGACTGCCTGAGAAAACGAGCAGGACTTGTCTCGTCTCAAAGAAGTGACTGATCCAGAGAATTGACAATTGCCACAAAGGTCAAAGTAGTCAAGTAAGTGATCCCTTATATGAGTATCAGAGGGAAATAAAGAAGGATCTGCAGCAGCAATTCTGCGTTGAAGTTTTGTGAGCTCTTCAGAAAATTGATCCACACTAGCACTATCAGGCATAGTGAATCGAAAGAAATCCTTGAGCAAGGAAGTAGGAGTAACCTCACACTCGGGTTTGAAGAAATCCTCAAGAGCAATCCACATTCCTCTGGAAGTATTTTTATTTTTATTTTCAACCAAATGATAAGTATCATCAGATACGGCCGAAAGAAGAGCAAATCGGACACTACGATCTATTTCGTCCAAGTCCACAGCATTATCATCGCCTTTTTTGTTATTCTCGGCGACAGTTTCGAAAGGGTTGCATATCACAGACTCTGCATGGAATTGGACGAGAATCATTCGGAATAGGCTAGCCCAGCGGGTGTAGGTAGACTTGTCGAGAGTAGGAAGGGCTCTAACCGATTTGATGATTTGGTTGAAAGCCATCTTAGATGTAGAGGTTCAGATTATGTTGTAGAGGTGAGTATAAGGTTGAGAAATTGAAGCAGTCAGGCGGAGAAAGAAGTATAAAGTCCAAAGTTGAGCTAACTTGGTCTCATAATCTGTTAGAGTATAGAGAAGACTTCGGAGTAAGAATTGCCTGAGAACGGAGAAGATCAGTTTGCTTACTTGACTAATAGACTACAGGTATTATGATAATACAGTGGAATTACAAGGAAGAGAGGTTATCCGGAACCGACTCGACTGCAGAAATGAGTGGGATCCCAGACCAGAAAAGAATTATCCACTGACTCAGAATACTGGGTCATACAACAGAAATACGAACAAACCAATGACTGGATTTGTTCGGGAAGAATGGGATTCAAGCGGACTCAAACGTTGAGTCCGATTGGATCAGAAGTATGGGCTACTGCCTGAACTCAGAAATATAGTTCAGGCAAGATGCATGCAACCACATCGGTCGATAGAAAGAAAAGCAGGAAACTGTATTTCCTATACATTACAGCTGTAATTGCGGCGGTCCCTCTGTCTAATGGTGGTGGTTGTGGCGCCGTGAAATCCACCTGTCTGGCTCTCCAACTCGCCATGCCTAAGCGCAACGTGAAAAGATTGGAGAACTAGATAAGAAGGACTGATTAATATGGAAATAATTATTAATATAAAAAAATCATGTTCGTGAAACATGGTGCCGGGTCTGACGAAATGATGATGTTTTCCATATTATTATCTTTTGTAGATTGTCCTTATTTTACGTATACATAAGTTTAGTTCAATGCAAAACGAAAGATACGAAAGTTGAGGTATGGATTCTTGTTGTTATTGTTTCTATCTATGAACACTGCAAATGTCCAGTTCGCGGTGTTGGCTGAGTCATCAAGACAATGACTCAGCAAGAGAGAGATGCACTGCACTAAGCGCCAAGTAAGAGACCTACATTCCAACATCTTTATTATATTTTTAGGTATAATGTTCCGTGGAAAAAGAGGCTGAATTCCACGGGTAAACACTGAGCTGAATGGCTATTCATTACGGGCAATATATCAATGACCTTACAAGTAACAAAAGAGGATAGGAGCATTATACAAAGTGTGGCTTGGGCTAGAAAGGAACCCAATGTGCTAGATTGTCATACACTCAAGTAGTGCAATAAAAAAAAGGCATTATCATCATCAACGGTACCACTTCTGTACTAGCAGTGTATTTCCGCCGACAACAGAGGTAGAGATTCTCGATGGTATTGCGTCGGGGGCAAAAATGAATAGCGGCAGTATCGATAGCTTTGACTTGATTTCACAAACGTATTTTCCGTTTCCATGCTTGGGAGTAAGTTGGAACGAGAAGAGACCTGAAACTTGTCACTTTAAGACCCAGTCGTAGACAAATCGGGAAAAGGTCTGATAGAGGGATTTTTGTCTATTTTTATTTCATTCAATGTGCATTTGGCTATAACTGATGATCTGTGTTGTGTATACATGTTGGGTGACTTTATCGTTAGGGACACCCATAATCTGGATCTCATTCGCAATTACGACTTTAATGTATGCTTACTTTCGCAAAATAATCTTCCCTCTTCAGTAAGTAGCGGGCAAAGTGAAGCTCTAACACAAACGCTTAGCCGAGAACATGAGCACCACGACAAAAGTTGTTGAGATTTCCAGGATTCTAACCAGTCAATTCTTGTCTAGAGTAGGATATGTACTCAAGCTTCCAAGCTTTTACTTGAGTGACCAGCCCAGATGATATACTGCTGAACTAACCAACTGTCGTGATGTAAGAAAAGTCACCTGCGGAGGGCAAGACTGAACACCTGTACGCGGTGTCCTCTTCGAACCTGGGAGTGAAATATTCTCCCAGAGCCAAGTTCAGTCAAATTTCGCAATTTCAAAGAAGTTGGCCCACGAGGCAAAATTTCAAATTACTCCACCATGTCAATCTCTCACTCCCAAAGAGCCTGATTCTCAACTAGAATTCTTCAAGTCCACAAGTACGACATGATAAATCCTCGTTCCAATGACCACACCTCTCGTCTACTTTCTCTGGCCTCAGTTGACCACCAAATACACGCCCACGCCGATATTTATACCCGAGGGAGGAAGCAAAGCGTGGAGCACAAATCTGGGAGATAGCTCTTTGGGATGGACGTGAGAGGGATCAGGACAAGTTCACCAGATGATGCAAAGGAATGATACAAACTCGACGGGCGTGTCATTTTGAATTTTGGCAAGAGTTCTACAAATTCAGCTTTGTGCGCGCCAAGACTTCGCTTGCGAGAGTGCAGCTGACACTATAAAAACAAGCCGACGATGGAAGGTGCTGTGATCCGCCTCCTGGTGATGTTCTCCAGTATAGTTTGAGTAGCCTAGGTATCTACTCCACTTGGGAAGGAGACATCTCAGATCATATTTCGCGCGGAGAAAAGTTGATGGATGACGGAAGCATGTCTGGATAACTCAGGGTTTTTGAGACGTTCCCCTGAGTTGGTATTCACGGATAAGGCTTGACTTGGGGTGAAGAAAAAGCTACCATAACTTCGCAGAGGTACTTGCAAATGAAATCTGAGGCATGAGTGCTCCTCTTATAAATTGAGTCATCTTTTCTGAACTTTTCTTTGATATAGTGTCATAGCTAGATAGCCGCTTACCCAATTAGAATCTGATGCAACAAAAAAAAAAGGTCACCTGCACCTGGTGTGGTCCATTTAATTAAGTGGGTCTGAGATTAATTAGTGTGTGGTGGACAACCTCATTTAGCTCGGCCCGAACTTATTCAAGATTAAAAGAGAGCCTGAGGTGCTCTTTAAACCTGAGAGTTTGTTTTATAATCATATATTCGCGTTAAATTAGTGTTTTATCGTCGCTTTCAATTTGTTGATACAAGATAATTAGCGGTTTAGGTTGATGAGGGGTAATATTTATGAGCATACATAGAGCTCTACATTGAACAAAGCCGTAATATTATAAAATGAGTTGTGATGAAATTGAATATCGAGTACTATTTTCAGTTCAAACACATTAATTCATTCTTAGATGGTAAATCTCATGATAGAAATATCTTTTTACTTATCTAGCATCATAATTTTTTTTATAGAGAAGCTCAGACGTTTTTCGGTCCTAAGAAGCTCTGGCTCAGATTCCTGTAATTAAGTTTGTGACACTGTACTCTAATTGCGAATTGGCCCTGTCAAACCCGAACTTCCTGTTTCAACGCGATTTCACCTTAAAAGATAATTTACAAAGTAGAAACCTTCAACATTTATATTTTTGCTTGTAAAGTACAAAAAATGACAGCTGATCCCGTCTTCTTAATATGGGGTGGTAACGGATGGATTGCCGGTCAATTGAAGGCTTTGCTGGATAGTCAAGGTCCGTCCACTAGATGCGAGCTTAAATTGTGCTTTTAACTATTAATATAGGGAAAAAAGTGTATACCACTACAGTGCGCATGCAGGATAGGGAAGCTGTAATTGCTGAACTCGAAAAATATAAACCAACACATGTCCTCAATGCTGCTGGCTCAACGGGAAGACCCAATGTCGACTGGTGCGAGGATCACAAGGAAGAAACTATGAGAAATAATGTGATTGGGACTCTAAATTTAACAGATTGCTGTTGTCTAAAGGGAATTCATATAACAGTTTTTGCTACCGGCTGCATCTACAGCTACGATGAAGCGCATCCCATTGGCGGTCCAGGATTTCTTGAGACTGATAAATCGAACTTTGCGGGGTCATTTTATTCTATGACAAAAGCCCATGTCGAAGAGGTTAGTTTCCGCGATCGTTTTTGCACTGAGAGAAATCACTCATTGAAAAATAGATCCTAAAACATTATTCTAACGCACTTGTGCTACGTTTGCGAATGCCTGTTAGCGACGACCTTCACCCACGAAATTTTGTCACAAAGATTACGAAATATGAACGAGTTGTTGATATTCCTAACTCAAACACAATTTTGCATGATCTTTTACCTGCATCTATTCTCTTATCTGAGCACAACGAGGTTGGTGTCTATAACTTCACTAATCCAGGTGCAATCTCTCACAACGAGGTATTGACTCTATACAAGGAGTATGTTCATCCTGATTTTACATGGAAGAACTTCAGTTTGGAAGAGCAGGCCAAAGTGATCAAGGCCGGACGAAGCAACTGCAAGTTGGATACGGGAAAACTCGTGAAAAAACTCGAGGAGTATGGGTATGAGGTGCCCGAAGTCCACAAAGCTTATGCAGCCTGCTTTAAACGTATGGCCCTCTTGGGAAATAATTGAGTGCATAATGCCTGTTCTGTATGAATCTGAGCAGGTGATCAAGTGAGGTCAATTGGCTTCTGTAATGCCTCGGGCAAGCGAAACATTGTCCAAAATTAATTTGCATGTGAGCTACTCAATTAAACTGGAAGTATGTGGCGAATTAAACAACAAGGTTGGTTGGCATTAGAAATATTGGCCTCGTAACATCATGAGACGTGACATTCATGTTGCGGACGTTATAAGTACCTAAACTAAGCGCCGAAATTCCCGAGATTTATGCCTATCAGCCACAACTGACTGGCCCAAATCGAAAATCACTAAAGTGCAACCAAGCCTCACCTCCGCAGGTGAACCATCTAATAAAACTTAAGTCTACAATTTATCGAAATCAGAAAGCAGAAAGGCGCTCATACTGATATTCGAGTTGAAGTGTAACCCGCTGCGTCCAAACTCAGTATCATGACTGTCGTAGATACCACTTATTATGATGCATTGGGTGTCACAACAGATGCTTCACAACTGGAAATTAAGAAAGCGTACCGCAAACTTGCCATTATCACACACCCAGGTATAATTTTCTCGTTCTAAAGGTCATTCAATTTCACTTACATATACACCCTTAGATAAAAATCCAGATGACGAGACCGCCCACGAGAAATTTCAAGCTATCGGTGAAGCCTATCAGGTTCTATCCAACACCGAGCTCCGTAAGCAGTATGACAAATTTGGAAAAGAAAGGGCATTACCTTCGGAGGGCTTCGCTGATCCAGCTGAGTTCTTTGGGACAATTTTTGGCGGGGAAGCTTTTGCAGGCTTGATTGGGGAGATTTCGCTCATGAAAGATCTAACCAGAACTATGGATATCACGATGACTGATGGAGGGGATGATGAAGGTGATGCTGCCTCAGGAGAAGATGCAACCAAAGGTGATGGGGTAAAAGAGGAAAAGTCCCGAATAATCGGAGAAACAACATCGAATTCTCGAGATGATGTACCACCAACCACCTCAGTATTGGATGAGACAGAACCGACTACTCATTCCTTGAAACCATCAGAAGATAAACCGATGCTCAGTACGACCACGAGTGGTACGTCGACACCTCGAAGAGGACAGGGTATACCTTTGCGACTTGCAATTATGGATAAAGCAGATGATGATGCAGGACCTATGGTAACAGAAGAGGAGAAAGACCTCCGAAAAAAAGATAAAAAGAAGGGAGGATTAAGCAAGGCACAGAGAGAAGAATTAGCAGCATATGAAAAAGAAAGAGCCAGAGTGAGACAAGAACGAGTAGACACACTTGCAAGGAAGCTTATTGATCGCCTGTCTATTTGGACAGAAACAAATAAGGATCCTGATGTTACCAGAGCTTTTCAAGAAAAGACCAAACTCGAAGTTGAGAACTTGAAGATGGAATCCTTCGGTCTTGACATACTTCATGCAATTGGGGCTACATATGTACAAAAGGCAACGGCCCTTTTGAAATCCCAGAAGTTTCTTGGTATTGGTGGCTTCTTTAGTAAATTAAAAGATAAGGGCACGCTCGCTAAAGAAACTTGGAATACTATTAGCTCTGCAATTGATGCACAGATGACGATGGAGGAAATGGCAAAGATGGAGGAGAAGGGAGGTGAAGACTGGACAGACGAAAAGAAGGTGGAATATGAAAGGCGAGTAACTGGTAAGATCTTAACAGCTGCCTGGAAAGGAAGCAAGTTTGAAATACAAGGGGTTCTCCGAGACGTTTGTGACGAAGTTCTCAACGACAAAAAGGTACCGATGAGTAAGAGAATGGAGAGAGCACAAGCACTGATTATTTGTGGCGAAATATTTCAAAAGGTAAGGCAGTCGCTCCTTCTCTTTATTTCTTTTTCTTTTGAATTAAGATCAAACTAATTTTACTCCAAGGCACAACGGAACCCAGAAGAAGAAGGGGACTACATGGCCTTTGAACAGCTAGTCGCTGAGGCAGCTGCCAAGAAGGAGTCAAAGAAGAAGACAAAGGACAAGGAATCCAAGCATAACCTGCCGACTCAGGATGCCACAGCTGCCGATACCCTGAATGTACCAAAGGTCTGATCTAAATTTTGCGGTTAAGGGATAAACGTGAACAAATAGGAAAGCAATTCACTCAGGTTAAGCCATTCGATGGTACGAGAATCTAACAGCTAGGAGCAAAGGATAGAGTATGTCTATGATTACCCCTATCAAAACCTGTTTATGTAAACTTGACTGCTTCCTCAAGCATATCCGTCTAATCTGCTTCTATAAGTAGTAAACAAAAAGTATATGAAAAACTTAGAGTTAATTTTACATTCTACTCCCTAGCAAATGCTTACTTCATTTACTAAGAAACCGGGGCCTAATTAGTCTCGTATTTGGACACTTAATATCTACGTCGCCCTCGTCCCTAATCTCACATCCTACTTTGAAGAAACATCTATTATCCGTGATGTGATTACCTGGAATTCCTGTGAACGACTTTACTTCGCAGTTGCAATGTCGTCACTAAATTGCTATCATTATTTATATCTGGCTCATCTGATTGGGCAGTAGCATAAGACTCTGTGATGCACCCAACACGATATTCTAATGCACCAGGCCTTTTTCCACCTTCCTACAGCAGAAACAGCTATGGCGTCTTTGCAGCCTATCTCCTGACAAACATAGCGGCTCTTAGGACCCAATAGCATGCAGAGTGCATTGATCATCAGCATATTCCTCTTTTATTTTAGTCCTTTGGTAATCATGGAATCGCTCTGGGGGAATTAAGGGAAATAAGAGAGTTGTGCTTTAGGGGGGAAGGGTCCAAAGCATCAGATTTCTAGCTTTCATCTTCGTGACCACATGTTTCCACATTCCACCAGGCATGCCTGTTCATAATCGGGCCCCGTGCGTATGTGAAGGGTGGGGTTAGGCTGGGCACCGAATTTTTGGGGTGGTACCTTACACCAGTAAGTTGTGGCTTAGAAAAGATGCTGTTCTCGAGGACCTCTGCTTGCTTGGCTTGTCAAATTGCGGGTATTTTATTCTATCCAAGGGCCGCTTGTCTAACATCTCTCAACATCTGCAGGCCGAGTTCACTCAATTCTTCGTTTTCGAATTCCTCAACCTCTTCTCCCGTCAGTACTCTTCCGCCAAGTTCGTCATCGCATAGTGTCACTTTATGTTCAAGAGCTTTTTTCCCTTTCCCTATTAGATCCTCCGTAAGCCCTAGACATCTCTTAAGTGTCTGGTTCAATTTTCGGCTATCAAAGAGAAGTCGTTGATGTTTGACTAGATCGTGTTGAAGCCTTTTCTCATCCTTTTTCCGGTGCCGTAGATCACTTTCGGCTATTGCACTGGGAGAAAGGGAACATGTGTCGTTAGTCTCTTCTTCTGAATAGTCATAATGTGAATCACTAGTATCTTCTTCACTTTCCTCATTATCATCACTTAAATCAGAGGCTGAAATTTCAATATCACCTAGAGCTGAGCTGGTGCATAAGGAAGTAGATCTTGAGATGTTAAGCCGGCCTGATCTACTTAGCCTTCGGTATCGTCTTAGCTCAGCAGTTTGTTTTCGCATTTCACGTTCTAATGTCCGGTTAATCGCTGCCAAGGATGAGTTCGTTATTTCTAGATCCAGCACTTTCCTCTCCCTTCTTGCGTTGGCTGCAAGTTCACTTTGTTGTTCTAGTATATTGCCAGACTTCGATAAATTGTGCTGCTCTAACGGACTTTGAAATTCACAAATATTATCAGATCTTGGAAACGCATTAATCGAAGGTCCAGAATTGCTGAGCGATACATCAATGTTGTTTTCTATGTGAACTCTCCTATTAAATCTTAATTGCGTTCCCGCAGTCTCGCAGCTTAATGATCTCTCGTGACGACTTAGTTTCAAGTCTGTTTGGGTGGGAGGTCTCAATGCCTCATTAATAGGGGTTACTGTTAGAGGTATGCCGTTATTTGACTGAAGACGGGAATTAAAGTCTGATGATACCAGTGGTGAGCCTAATTGTGACACAGGAGAGGACTGGTTCAACTTAGAGGGTGATGCTGGTCTCGAAAAAGTAGGATTGTAATTATTATTTGATAGAGAGCTAAACTTTACTGCACTCATTAGAGAAGACACAGAATGAGCTGAGCTGGACCTTGGGGGTGGAAGATAGGGAGCTGGCGATGCTGAGAGGTCTGGAACGCCATTTGCATGGAAAAACTTGGGTACACTACGCTCTTCTAGATTCCCAAGAGCAGAAGCAGCCAGTGGTGGCTGTATAAATGGTATATAATCTCCATTAGCATAGCAGAAAGATGATATAGCGCTCTTTGATTGAACTTGAGATCTCGATTCAGGGGTGGCGACTATTTTCACCCTGTCGGCAGACAGCCTTGCTTCTTTCTCCTTGGCTAAATTCGAGTCTATATCGCCTATTCTTAAAAAAGAACTGGGAGATATTGTCTGCTTATTTGGTATTTGCTTGTCGCTTACCAGGCTTGCTGAGAATGAGCTAAAAGTGTCTTCCGTAGGTAGCACGTAATCATTAGAGCGAGGTGTCTCTGTAGCTTCTCCAGAGAGAGATCCAGGAGTTGTACTAGCGCTATCAACTCTGAGCCTCCGAGAGCCTGATCTCGGTGTGACATTGTTTAAGCTCCTAGAAGTGGGTGTAAACGCTGTATTCTCGTTGGCATTTGCTTTCACACATGGTTGTGGAGCTCCTCGCTGTAGGCGTAGACCTAAGCCAGATGGCTTATTGGAACCGGCTATCCGTGGAGTTAAGGGTGCACGATTAGAAGATCGCTCGGGGGCGGAAAGAGCTGATGGAGCGAGCGGCCTCGAATTCTTGGATTGTTTGTCGTAGTGATCCATTCTCCCGCTAGCACCTCTAGTTGCGGCAGGGACTTTAGACTGCACCCTCATAGCCACATTTTGATCTCGGGGCTGAAGAGGATTTCGGAGAGACGATGGTGCTATGTGGACTGTTCTGACCTCTTTCGTCAGTAATGGTCGTTGCAAGTTTGAATTTGGACGATCAGGGCCGCATGAGTAAGAGGAATCTTTCGCCGCAAGAATCGCGACCTTCACAGCCGCGGATTTTGACATGTCTATTCAAGGGCCACGTCTAATGCAAGGGAATGTACTAATTCGAAACTCTCCATGGTCTTACTTTAACAGCCTCCGACGTAATTGAAGGTATATGTGAAGGGGAGCGCCAGCGTAATCAAATGGGTAGAGCGATGATGTAGAGCTAAATAACAAGTTTCTTACCTAGTTAGGTATAAGATTTAGACAACAAACTTGTCAGTGTAAACAAACTATCGCATAGTGATGGATCTGGCGCCGGAACAATTGAAATGAGATCCATGCGACGCACGACTCAATTGTTCGAGCACATGGAAAGTATCCGCCTTTTCACCGCCTCGCAGGAGTCGGGCAACCGGACAGTATAACATCACCTAATTACATTCATCAACATGGTGCTCCTTGGCTTGTCTCTGCTGATTGTTTCGGTATCATTTCTTTGCTATCAGCACTTCCCGCTGACCCTGTATTCATTCAGTACACCGAGATCTTCCCCACCCAAAGAGGATGAGGTAGAATTGCAAGTCATTGAAATAGAGAAGTCTACAAAACCAGCTCCAAAGACTTCAAGCCACAAAAAAGTGGATTCAACGATGGAGTCGAGAGGAATTGAGTGCAAGAATGAATTTTCCACCACTGCTTTAGAAGATAATGACCGCAAAGCTATGCCACCACCCCCTTTACCGCTTGAAAACAACTCCATGCCGTCGACTTCTAGGACACTTGCATATCCACCAGACCTCACTCTAACCCCAGCTCTTGTTGAATCTTCAATCAAGGATATTAGAACTAGCATCGTCTCTCGAACTCCGAGTCTTCAAGATACTCTCTTCCATCAAAATACGCAAAAAAAATCGAATTCTGACCGTATGAATATTCATCCTGTGGCTACTATCAGAGGAATGACACAAATTGATGTCCGAACTTCCACCGCGAAGAACTTTTCATCTAGCCTATCCTCGCTGCCTAAGGGATCACTGATTGGAGTAACTGCACCTCCATCACGCTCAACTGCATCTACGAAATCAAGTAAGAGAGTTCTACTAGCTCCCGGTCACTCTCCTCTAGACTGGGCACGTCTCATAAATTCCGATGTTGTTCTCACGGGCTTAGCCCCTGGAACACAGCCATACATCAAGGTCCCACCATCTCTTCTGAAGAAGTATACGGGTCGTAAGGGCCAGGATGCATGGACAGTATTGAGCGGGAAAGTATATAACATCACACCTTACATACCTTTTCATCCAGGCGGAAAGCCAGAGCTACTACGATGTGCAGGTCGAGATGGAACCAAGCTGTTTGCAGAGATTCACCCTTGGGTAAACTGGGAAGGTATGCTTGCTAAGTGTATGGTTGGGATAGCTGTAGATGAGGATGAAATGCACGATGAAGAACAATTGAACCAGATGGATTAATTTTAAACACTTTGAAAGTGGAATTAATATATTACAAGAGACTTGAATAAAACCATACAGACCTGATTAAGATATCATTAAAGATGTGACTAACATCTGATATATGTTAGCCCATACAATAGATATAGGTCTCAGTTATAATGCAAGATGACAGTCACAAGTCAATATCTGTATGTAGTTGAGTCATTCATTATGTCTTTACTTTTAGTGTTAGTATCAGTAAATCATTTCATGTATCTCCTAAGCTAGCCTAGAAGCTGCAGCGCTCATGGAATTATTATGAATTCTTTCTGAACCGGAATTTTAAACTATCGTCACTGTCTTCGCTGTGATCTTGCTCTTTCTCGATGGTTGTCATTCTTGGCCTTTTCACTTGTCTCATATTGCCTTTCGTGTATTCTGCTACCCGTTTATGATCACCAACGCCTAGGTTTTGGGTTTGAATAGTTTCACGAGTACCGGTCTTTGCTAGGCTTCGTTGGTGTCGTTTCCTGTTGAAATCAGACAGTTGTTGATCCCGTTTCTTTAGCTGATTTTTCTCAATTTTCTTTGTGTAATTCGTGCTTATCAACTCTTCATCGTCCCAGAGGTCTCCAGAAACTTCTCGATCTCCATCTTTAGCCTCTACAAGTTGTACGATTACTTTATTGAAACCGTTAACGTTACCCGGCTCTCCTTTTCGGCGGAATTTTTTAAAGTTCTTCCTTCCATTCCAACGCTCATCCCAGCCATGATCGGATGGTGGACGTATCATTTTGCCGCTTTGGTTAGTCATTCTGACTTTGATATTCTCAATTTTTATCTTGTTCCGAATTTCAGCTAATTGGAGAACGTTTAATTTATCTTCGAGGGACACTTGCTCCTGATCATCACCGTATTCTGCCTCAATATTTTGGCGTTCCTCTTTATTATCTCTTGACACCTCTTCTATCTCAGTATCAGCTTCGGTGGATTTATTTCGATCGATTTCCCTCTCAATTATATTTCCTTGTTTTGTCTGAATATTTGGGAGCGGTATTATCGATTCGTGAATATCTGCATGCTCAGCTCTAGAGATCCTTCTTCGCTTCCGCGAAGGTGTAGATAGTCCAAAATTTAATAATATATCACTATGCTTCTCTTCGACAGGTGATATAACATTTTTTCTTTTCCGATCATTTGGGTTTTCAGCTTCATGCTTAATCGCCGTATTTATGAAGCCCGATGGTGCAGTTAAGCCTCTAAATATGGAACCTTCCGTAGTTGAGAGATATTCAACAGGAGTTATAGCCTGAGATTGGGATTCGTCAATTGACCGAGTGTAACCAGCTAACTCTGTCGGAGGTTCAGGTACAGCTTTAGGAGGACTGGATTTTGCAGAGAAATCGTCGTCAAACCCTATCATCTTGAGGCGACCATTTCGACGAACTCTACCGCCATTTCGCGGTAGAGGATTTAACAGTTTTTCACTTTCAAGAAATGGGATATCCTTCTGAGCCTTGATAGTATTACGAGATCTTAAACCTGAAGGTGATCAATATTTTCGCTTGAATGGAAATAATCGACTCACAAACTGGCTCGTAATCCACGTGATCAAAGTTCTTGTATTCATAATTTTTTAAAGTACTTCTATCGTTCTTGATAACTGCTTTGAAAAGCTCATCTGGATCAATAAAATGACAACGTAAAGTTAGAGAGGCCTGCTTCCTGAACTCTGTATGCCAGTTTGAATCAGATTTCCTTGGAGGATTAAATGCTATCAAAATTAATGTTCTGGCTTTTTCTCGGCTGCAATGTTCACTCGACTCTCGCTCACGGCTAAAATTTTTAATGTATCCCGTGAACTCATCGATCTTCGTTTCATGAGGTTTCATCTCATATAAATAAGCGTTTCCACTACCGGCAGTAATTGGGTTGCTATACTCGACAAATTGAGATTTTTCGTGAAATATAAAAGTGTAACCCTCAAAAATATTTTGCCGTACCGTACTGGGATAAAAATCAGTTTCCTTAAGTTGCGTTAGTGTATCGTTAATGGGATGCAAGTGTTCAGCTGGCTTCGGGAAGTTCCCGTAAAAGTCAAGTTCAAGCCCTTTATTTTCTACTGAGGTCGTTGAAGCGAGGGCATTAATGAATGATTCGTGTTGTAAAATGTGCTTCCCATCAATAAGGGCTTGAAGATTTCTGCCAGTATTCCGTTTACCGCTAATAACATATGTGGTATTTTCGCGTTCATAGTTGGCAAGTATCTTGATATCAAGCGGTCCAAAAGAGGAACGTAGTTTGCTGATAAGATCCGTGCTGTCACCTTCGGTTTCGAAAGAAAAGGTAAAGTTGACGGGCACCCATATTATGCTGTAAGTATTCAGTTATATCTATCAACCTACCTATCAAAGATATACTACTAGTAATTGTGTTCGTAACGGCCTAATTGGATCTTATTGTGGGGTTTGTCCAATTCGACACTGGATCCCCTGATTTGTTTTCCATTTAAAAAGGTACCGATTTTGGTGTTGAGGTCTTTTACCACAATCTTCGATCGATTATGAGGATTATGCTTGATTTATTAGTATGACAAGATTTTTACCATTAGGATTTCTCACAAAGTCAAGCTGGTCTGGTATATTCACTTCAATTGTGAGATGATTTCGGGAGATAGTCTTGTGCGATAACACAATAACTTGTCCTGGAACGGTTGAGTAACTTAAGCTCTCAGCTAAGAATGAGATAAGCTTTACCCTCATCATTGATATTTGTTCGCCCAAAATGTAGTTTTGTTCCTGGACGAAGCCATGATTTTTTCCCTGGTAGAATTGGAATCAGCTGTTTTCAAATATTTTATCGATGTAGGTTATACCTTTGAGATCATTCCCTGAACATTCAAGAATCCACATACTTTAAGTTCTTTACATATCTCAGTACGTTGTTTGAAATTTCTAGTGTTTTTGTAATAGTTTGATCCAGAATTGTTACGCTAAAAAGAACAAGTGCCCTTTACAAGACATGCTGGTACGTGATTCATACAATGCTAAGCACATCGATGCCGCTAGGCCACTTTGGGCGTGACTTGTATGAATACCGCTCCATTTCTGCTGACATTCACGGTATCAGAATAAGTTTACAGCGATGTATGTAACTACCCAGCTATGAAACAATTTCAGAAGGAAATTAAAGTATAGATGACCTTATTTGAAAGTAGTAGGACGAAAGCTGAACACTTGTCAGCGGTGTCCTCTACGAACCTGGGTGTGAAATATTTTCTTCGGGAGCCGAGATTCAGTCACGAAAAAGTGTGAGATGCTTTTTTTTTAGTGGACTTTCGGCTTGAAGGAGTTGTAATCGGTATCTTGGTCGAAAAATCAGTCGGCAAAGATTTCAAAACCGCAAGAAAGTCGAACAAATACCCATCACCATTAAAGTACGATTGGGCTGGATGGTGCAGTGCTACACCATTCAGGCCGTTCGCCCAAGTAGATACTTGGCAGTTTGAACACCAACCCCATTTAAGACATTAGTACTCCGGTTCTAATCCAGTACAGCGCACACACCACTCTCTTTCGCGGTGATATTGTACTTGTGGGAAGATGAAAGCTCACTTGGATAGCCACAGGTTTTTCAAGCTTTTCCCTGTGGTGGGTATGCACGGAAGAGGTTATACGCAGTAAGGGTTAACCTCAAGTGGTATCTGCAAATGAAATCTGAGTGTGATTATTCTAAACTTCAAATTGAGTCATATTACTTAAAGCAAATATTTTCCGATAGAAGCCTGCACGGGCCCCGAGGCGCCAAATCAGGATAATGAATTATTATTATCTTTTTATTTGAGTTTATTTTCATTCAACCCAATTTGGCGACCTATGGGCCCATGCAGGCAGCTATGAACCTATCCATATATTTACATGAGGGGGAAACCATTACGATAATAAACCCCTCTCTCTTTTAACATTTATTTTCATCTATAGTCCTTTGTTACCTATAGGAAATGCAATTGGCCTTGAGTCTGAGACAGGACTAGCTTAAATTTTATTGGACCTCGCCATTCTTTCTCTGCCCTCGCATGCTGAAAAGAGACGACTGTGGTCTTGAACTTGACCTTGATGGTCCAAATACTTGTGGTGATGGTTGTGGTGCCGTGAAAAATTTTTCACCCATGAGATCCACCTTTCTGGTTCTCCAACTCGCCATGCCTAAGCGCAACGTGAAAAAATTGGGACACGTATAAGAAAGACTGATCAAGATGGTAACAATTATAAAAACGATGAAATAACGTTCATGGAACGTGGTGCCGCTTTTGACCAAATGACGATGTTTCTTGGATTTATTTATTTATCCACATCCGATTCACGAATGGACCTAGGTCTGTCTGGGGGTCGTATTCAAACATCCGACATCTCTCAAACTCATTTTATATTTGCAAAGCATGTCTCTGTCAATTCTACACCTACGACCCACCTCTATACTCGTCACGTCACCTACCTATACACGCCCTAATGAGGAAAGTCATGATGAAAGTAGGAAGTGTGCAGAGGAGAAATATAAGGGAATATACACCGAGGGGATTACACAAATACCCAATGTCGACAGCAACCCAACGGTACGATATGAAGGTGCAAGGCTAGAGCAACAATGAGATCTGGGACTACATTTATATTTCGGACTCGATGAGAATGTCAAAGACTTGGGCTCGTGGTGGTCGAGGCTGAGGAAGAATTTGCATAACGGTGTTTATAAAGCGGGTTTCTGGACGGTTAGGATTGGTATAATTCAATACATAGGTGGAGTCTGAGATGGACCGGTCATTCAGGTGGGACGAGGTGTCACAAACCACCTCTGGGATGTCGCGTCGCACTCAGGCAACCAAGTTATGACGTGCATACAATAACACAATTTAGGTTTTATTATTATTAATTCATTTTATTGTCCTGTCTGAGTCTATGACTATGTAGGACATGCAGGTCCTCTCTGCCTACAGGCCAAGGATACCTATACCAGTAGTATATCCCCTCCTATGCCTCCCATACAGCTCCCCTCAAACAGTACCACCCCTCACAAGTCCTCATTCGATCATACACTAAGAGGAGCCCTTTGCCCTTCATTATCTCCCCTCTCCAGCCAACGAAACGATGGCCATTTGCGGGTGTATGGCAGCCGGGAAAATTCGCAAAAACCACTGGGTGCGGGGCTCTTCTAATACCGACATTAGGAATAAATCCGAAGACATATTGCCCCTTCTGAAGCGTTCGAAGAGGCCGGCCAGCTGGGCGCTGCAGACTTGTGTGTACCTCGGGAAATTCACCCTCTGCCTTTCTAGCCTCCTTCCAACTCCTTCCCGAAGGTCGTGCTGAAATGTCAGAAAAGTCTTGACAGAGCGTGATTGCTGTATAGTAGCTTAGCCTAACTTCTTTTGTACCGTCCAGGGCGCTGGGGAGTGCCGTTGACTCATCGACAAAAGAAGCCCTCCTGGCTAATTAGCCGAAATCTTGGTCTTGGCGCCCACAAAAAATCCAAAGTTGGAAACTCCTCGAAAATGTCAGTCCCAACACAGTCTTCAGAGTCTTCTTTCTCCTCTCGCTCCACATCTCAGCTGCCTGTTCTTCCTCAAGATGTATAACCCCATTAGAGCAGCAGTCCCCCATAAACCAAGACCCCAACTTTGTATTTTTCGACTTGATTTCCTCCTTGCGGGTATAAATAGCGTCGTAAATATGTAGAGAGTGATGGCCGGTAATGAATGAGGCAAGCTCCTGTTTGCAGTTAGGGTGACGCCTCTATCGGTCGGCGAGGCGAGTTGATATGTGCTTAGATCGGGGTTGAGGACTCAGAAGATAATGATGAGTGCTGCATGGTTGAGAAGTCGTCAAATGGAGATATACATGTGTTTGCTTTCGGCTTCGATTCGGATGCGATTCTTCTTGGCTATCCCAGATATGCAGAGCATACTGAGCGATTACACCGGCACCACTGGAAGGTGAAGAATTCGTCTTTGCCGGCACACAATTTAGGTATTGTAGTGGTTACAGTGTTGTGATAGCAACAGTTGCCAATCGGAGTACTAGTTAGTTGCTGTGTTATGGCTGTGGACTACTTCACCCTTGGTTATAGTATTGATGTTCGTGTACTTAAGGAAGCTCCAGGACTAGATGTGTCCTGTAGCTTTTTGTCTTGTAAATTACACATGTTTTAGAATCTAATGTTAATCTACATATCTCGTCCTCATTATCAGCTTCTGTCTTCGTCCTCGTCCTAGTCTCCGTCCTCGTCCGTGACACGAGGTCTGTCTGTAATTCACAGTGGTTAACCTGATCAGGTCCGGCCCCACTCGTGGTTAAGCTCCAGTAGGAGTGCAACGGTAGTCACTTAACCTAGCAAGTTAATAAAAAACAACCAATATGAATTAAAAAAAAAATCAAAAACAACCGGCACACTTCGAGAAATTCTAAAATTCCCTTTCTCCCATTTTCCACCTCTCTCAATCACGTCGCACAAATCTCTAAATTGTGATCGAGCTCAGGCAATTTCAACATGCCTCCAGTTCGTAAAAAGAGTCCAAACGTCTCGTTGGACAACACGAGAGTCCACCCGAGGGCTCTCGAAAAATAACCTGGCCTTGCCCAGTCTTCGAAATGCACGGAGATGAGCAAGGTCTTAACTAAAGAGAAGGAAAAAGCCTTTCCCATCGTCAACGAGCCCGATACTGACATTATCGGGTCATTCAAAATTGTTGAGAAATTTCCTCAACCATCTTCCGTCCCTCACGGGATTGGAGAATCGTCAAAATCTCCTCCGACCATGTCAAAACCGTCGGAAAACGCTGCACTAAAAGCAGCTCCAACCAAAGAGTCGCAGGCTCAAGCTGCCATTAATGCAGAATGCCCTCCGGAACAACGACCAATTGTCGAGGCCGAACAACGACGCGCCGCCGAAATAGCGGCTAATCTGGCACTCTGTTCCGCCGCTATCTCTGGCGTCGAAGCAACACTCTTCCCTTTGACCAACGGGTCAATCAGACAATTAGTGGACTCCATGAGAGTCTACCTAGGCGCCGCCATTGCGCAGTACATGGCCTCGGGCTCGGCCCCCACGCCACCCGTTCTCCCTACTCGCCCGGCGGACCCAATCCCAAGGGCACCCGACGCCAGAAGTACAACATTTCCTGCCGTCCCAGTGCTGTCTTTAAAAAGAACCTAGACCACGACGGCAAAAAACGGACTGCAACGCAAAGCAGTACCTGTAGTAAAGGCTGTGCAGCAACCTGCGGCAAAAGCCTCAAAGAAACAAGCTCCCAAGGCGAAAATTGACAAACAACTGTTCCTTCGCCTAGAAAAGGAGCACTTGTGGCGCAATGTTTCACCTAACCCTGTATAGCAATAGGTTTATGATAGGCTGCAGTGCATTGTAGGTGATGCCAGCTCAATATACCGAGTCAGAACCGGCTTGCCGATTCTGATAGGGAGTGAAAATGAAAGGGAAAGGCTCCTGGATGCCGCACCGAAATTATTGGACTTCAATGCTGTTACGGTTTGACCGTGGTTTAGCTTAGGCGGAGACCTAAGCGGAGTTTTGGGGCGTATTCAGGAGAGTGTTACACATTATCTTGTATCAAGCGACTTAGTTTCACTTGGCCACATTACATTAAAGCTAGGAAGGAATGTGAGACGGCGAAGTAGAATTGCCAAGTGAGAGAGTCAGCTAGATGGCAAAGATGACGACGGGCAGTGGCGAAGCAATATGTCATTCTCACCAACAGAGTACGTATTGGATGAGCTAGAAGGATGTACAAATAGTCATTGCCCGTAGTTGTGATACTTCTCTCTTCAAATAGTTTAATCTTTCTAAAAGTACACTACAACCAGCTTGGTTTCGTCACAAATGCCAAGCTAGAAGAAGCCTCCGA